ATTATATAGCGATACATATTGATATTGAATTATTGTCCAGCCCTACGTCAAGCGTAAAAAGTTCCTCATCTGTGTTATGGGTGTTAACAAGGAGAGCCCCCTAGGCAGATCACAAGCTTTTTGAACCTCCCTCCATGCCAAATAAGCCAACATTTTCCTAATTTCAACTTGCTTATCTTCTTTTATTCAATAAATGGAAAAGCTGCTAATGAGTGTGGATTGGAATTACATTTTTCAATTTCTAACCACCTAGTCACACTATCCTCTGACAATCAAATTATCAGCGCTCGCAGCTGGGATACTATCCAATAGTTCTTAAAATTTGGGAGCGCCCACCCACCTTGGGATTTTGGCAATTGTAATGTTTTATATCGGACCCTGAGGCACCGACCTTGCCAGATGAACCTATAAATCAACTTATCTAGCCGAGTGAACATCGATATAAGCCACTTAAAAGAGAAGGAAGACAGTACCCGTGTTGTAACAAGGGTATTCATAGCTAAAGCTTCCGTTTTCCCTACATTCATTTTATAACTTGAACATTTGGCAAACCGGTTAATACACTTCATTGGTATGGGGACTGAGTCAGAGATGTACACAATTATGTCATCTGCATATAATGACACTTTATGCGTCTCATTTCCTACACTTATTCCTTGGATATCAGAATTAACCCTAATTACCTCCGCCAATGTTTCAATACAAAGGGAAAAAATAAGAGGAGACAGTGGGCAGCCCCGTCTTGTTCCCCTTCCACACATGGTTGAGACATACAACCATTAACCCTAACAATAGCCTGGGGAGCAGAGTACAGACGTCTTATTCATTGGATGAAATTAGGTAAATTAAGAAATTAACACTTTGAGCAGAAAGGGCCATGACACTTAGTCAAAAGCCTTCTCCGCATCAAGTGCCAGTGACATACGAGGCTTTGAAAGAGTGGAGCAACAAAGCATTATATTAAGTAACCTACGAATATTATCTTGCAAATGTCAGCCAGTTATAAATCCAATCTTATCATTATCAATCAGATATGTTATTACC